GAAGCTTGGGCTTATAATGTGAAACAAGTTGAGTGATATTAGAGAGAGTCAGTTCCATAGAATTTTAGAGCCTGGGCCCAGAAATCAGAATCACTGGATTTCAATTCCCCTTTTACCACCCACTAGCTATGCAATCCTTTGCAAATAAGGGGACATATGCCTATTTTATAGGCCTGTCAGGAGGGGGAAATAAGATCAGTATAAAGGACTGTGTATAGTGATGGCACATATTATCTGGTAAGCATTCAATTAAGCTCTTGTGTTACATATGACCTCTTATTTTGTCTTTATCAAAACTTCCAGATTTAAGCAGAGTGTTTTTTAATTTTATTTGTTCCTGTTAATGTGTTTTTTCTGAATCCTAGTTAGTTTCCACTCATGAAACTAATTACAATAGGTAAGTTAGTCTTTATCTGTCTCTTTTGATAGATGGAAAATTGGAAGTTGACAAAGCTTTGGAAGTTATCTGGTCCACTGACTGAGAACAGAACTTTCCCCCCTCCTTCACTTATTCTTAAAACCAGTGATACTGAATTTTTGCTGGAAACCAGATTCTTTGTACACCAGAATTGAAGAATGAACTCACCTTTGTCTAGCAAAGGTGGAGATTTATAAAAGAACGAGTATAAACTATCACGTGGGGAGAGGGAAAAGTAGTACAGAATGGACTCTCAAGTAGGGAGGGGGAAAGGGTCCCACTGATTCCTCTTCCCAAAGCCTTATAAAGGCTGCAGATCCTGGTGCCTTGATATCCCCTCAATAGTGATTGGTCACTATTCCCTTTGACTGGTTACCATAGTAACTCCTGGGCTCAAAGGTCAAAACTCATGTGGGACATGTGAGGTTCTTCCCCCTCCTTCCTTATTGTTTTCCTATTTCCTTTGGGTTTTCTTTCTCAAATTCTGAATGAAGGGCTTCCTTCTCTTTATTTTGTAAATGTGACCTTTCTTGGTCATTTCCAATTCCCTTGTCTTATGGAAATACTAGAGGCCCAGTACACGAAATTCATGTATGGGATAGGCAGGTGTCCCTCAGTCCAGCCTGCACCCTCTCCCCGCTTGAGGGTGTTAAATTGCCCATTTAGACCTGATCCTACTGGGTCAGACATCCCTCTCACAATCCAGGACTTCTAGCTCCCAACTGCTTGCCTGCCTCCTTCCTGATTGCTCCTAACCGCTTCTGCCTGCCAGCCTGATTACCGCCTAACCACTCTCATTCCCATGCCAGCCTGGTTGATGTCTAACTGCTCCCCTGCCAACCTGTTTGCCTCCAACTTCTCTCCTCTGCTGGCCTGGCCACCCCTAACTGCCCTCCCCTTCAGGGTTGATCACCTCCAACTGCCCTCCCTTGCAGACCTGGTCCCTCTCAACTGCCCTCTCTAGCAGGACTGGTGCCTCCCAACTGTCCCCCCTGCTGGCCATTTTGTGGTGGCCATCTTGTGTCCACATGGGGGCAGGATCTTTGACCACAAGGGGGCAGCTATTGTGTGTTGGAGTGATGGTCAATCTGCATATTACTCTTTTATTAGATAGGACAGAGGCCTGGTGCATGGGTGGGGGCCAGCTGGTTTGCCCTGAAGGGTATCGAGGATCAGGGTGGGGGTTCCCTTGGGGCGTGTGGCAGCCTGAGCGAGGAGCCTGTGGTGGTTTGCAGGCCGGCCATGCCCCCTGGGGACCCAAGTGGAGACCCTGGTATCTGGAGTTTATTTACCTTCTACAACTGAAACTTTGTAGCCTGGAGCCAAGCCAACCGTGGTTGCAGCCATTTCTTTTTTTTTTCTTTTTAATATATTTTATTGATATTTTACAGAGAGGAAGAGAGAAGGATAGAGAGTTAGAAACATCGATGAGAGAGAAACGTCCATCAGCTGCCTCTTGCACACCCCCTACTGGGGATGTGCCCGCAACCAAGGTACATGCCCTTGAGCAGAATCAAACCTGGTACTTTTCAGTCCACAGACTGACACTCTATCCACTGAGCCAAACCGGTTTCAGCTAGCAGTCATTTCTATCTATCTTCAATCATTTTATCTATCTTCAATAATTGAAACTTTGTATCCTTGAGTGGAGGCCTATGCCGGCCAGGGTGTGTGGAAAGCTTGGCTTCCTCTATTGAAATCCAAGCCTCTCAACTGCTCTCTGTGGCTGCTGCCATCTTGGTTGGGGTTAATTTGCATACTTGCTCTGATTGGCTGGTGGGCATGGCTGATGGGTGTGGCTTGAGCAGTGATGGTTAATTTGCATATTACTCTTTTATTAGGTAGGATACCTGTTGCTGCCTCCCTTGTCTTATGGAAATGTAACTGCACCTTGCTTCCTTGTGTTATGGAAATGTACCTTCTCCTAGTCTGTAGCCCCGCACTTTTCCATGACCCCCAATTCTAAAAAATCCCTGAGCCTGCCTATGTTCCCCTAAAATTCCTGCTTTAGGGAATTCCTATTTCCTGGATTATTATAAATATTCTTATTTCCTGGATTATTCTAGCTATTACTGGAATAACAGAAATAAAATGAGAGGAAATATATATATAGGCAAAGAGATTAATTGGAGAGGTCTGGGAGAGTATGAGGAGCTTAGACCAAAGGGAAAAGAAGAAAAAAATGAGTCAGGGAAGGGGACCTCAAACAAGTCTAAGGAGAAAATTCAAGTAAGGGGAAAGTATAGAGAGACTGTAATTTGTCAAACAGTCACTATCTGGGTTTAAGAGTCAGACGTTCTGGGTTCTGATAATTGTAAAATGCATGATTATTATAAGACTAAAGGCCTGGGGCATGAAATTTGTGCACAGGGGTGTGTGTCCCTCAACCCAAACTGCACTCTCTCCAATCTGGGACCCCTCCACTCCCAATTGCTTCCTTCCAACTGCTCACCTGACTGCCTTCCTAATTTTCCCTAACCACTTCGCCTGCCAATCTGATTACCTCCTAACCACTCCCATGCCAGCCTGATTGATGCTTAACTGCTCCCCTGCCAGCCTGGTCACCCCTAACAGTCATACCCTGCAGGTCTGGTCACCTCCAACTTCCCTCCTCTGCTGGCCTTCCCCTAACTACTCTCCCCTGCAGGCTTGATTGCCCCCAACTGCCCTCCCTAGCAGGTCTGGTCCCTCCCAACTGCCCTCCCCTGCTGGCCATCTTGTGGTGGTCATCTTGAATCCACCTGGGGCAGCCATCTTGTGTGTTGGAGTGATGGTCAATTTGCATATCAGTCTTTTATTAGATAGGATGTTTTGCTTAACTGCTCTGAGTTGTATTCTTCAGAGTTAATAGTGCAGATTAAAAGAGATTAGTTGGGCCTGGCCTGCATAGCTCAATGGTTGAGCCTTGACCTATGAGCCAAGGAGGTCACAGTTGGATTTTGTGGACAAAAGGGGCCACCTGCTAACCTGACAAGCTCAGGGGAGGCCTGCCTGACACTCTTGCAAACTCAGAGGCCTAAAGTAACTGCAAAGGATTGTCTAAAATTAAACTCTAACTAAAAGCAATTATGGTGGACAGTCACCTCCTAGGCTGTTATCTTCACTGACAAGGTCAACCTTTACCTTAACTGAGCCCATCTGTCCTTATGCATCTATGATAACACACCCTGGAAATGTCTGGGTAACTTGTAATTTTCCTTTTTCTGGACCCCTTGGGACACAACCTAATATGCTGGGTGCCAAGACAGATATCACAAATTCCTTCTTTATCATCTTAATTGTTCCTGAACCCACCTAAGTGTCCATCATTTTACCTTTTATCCAATCCCAAGGATTTCCCAGCCTTGCTTTCTCCCACCTCTCTAGTCTATCACCAATGAATTTCATGTAACCTACCTACAACCATTTCCTTTGATTGCAATGTATAAATACAAATGTAACCCACCATCCTCTGGAGCATTATCTCAATTTGTTGAGGTTCTGCTTCCTGGCATATGTCAAGTGTTTGACTCAAATAAAGTCACGGAAATTCTTTACAGGTTTGAATGTTTTTTTGTTGTTGGTTTTTTTTTTTTTGTTTTGTGTGTGTGTGTTGCTTTTTTTTACATTAACAATTCCCACCAGGGCCCATGCCCAAGTTTCCAGCTTGATTCCCAGTGTGCAGGCAGCAGCCCATCAATGATTCTCTCTCATCACTGATGTTTCTGTCCATCTCTCCCTCTCCTTTTCTGTCTGAACTATAAGAGAGAGGAAGAGGGAGAGAAATGTGGAGGGGGAGAGGTGTGGTGGGAGAATTGTTAGCGAAACAGATGAGAACTAAGGAAAACCACAGTATGGGTGTGCTTGGCTGCCGTTGGCTGCCGGGGTGACTGCTCCACTGACAACTGGCCAGGCACATTCGTTCTTAGAGCTTACAGAACTTGATGTTATCCTTATAGTATTTCTATGAGGCTAGTGTTAGCCTCATTTTATAGAAGAGAATGCTGAAGCAGAGGTTTTGTAATTTTCCCAGTCTTACAGCAGGGAAGTGGCTGAGAGGTATTCAAATGCAGGCCTCTACCTGGGAAGCTGATGCTATTAAAATCATCTTGAGCCGAAACCGGTTTGGCTCAGTGGATAGAGCATTGGCTTTCAGACAGAAAGGTCCCAGGTTCGATTCCGGTCAAGGGCATCTACCTTGGTTGCGGGCACATCCCCAGTAGGGGGTGTGCAAGAGGCAGCTGATGGATGACTCTCTCTCATCCAAGTTTCTAACTCTTTATCCCTCTCTCTTCCTGTCTGTAAAATATCATTAAAATATATTTTAAAAAAATTATCTCGAAGCAATGCGAAGGATTGAATGAGTCTGAGGCGGACACATGCCCGGGTTCTTCCAAGTTGTGCCCAGAGCACATTGCCCAGGCACAAAGCGCCGCTCTGGACTCCCTCTCCACGCCACCAATAGCGTCCCGTCTCCATGGAGATAGCGTGGGGCGGGACTTCCTCTCCCACAGAGGAGCACTTCCGCCTTGGTCCGGAAGCGCCAGGGTAACCGGAGCGGCGGCGAGGGAAGATTTCTGGAGGGTCAGACGGGGCCGCGGCGATGCTCACACCGGCGTTCGACCTCAGCCAGGACCCCGACTTCCTCACCGTCGCCATCCGCGTGCCCCACGCCCGTGTCTCCGAGTTCGAGGTCTACTTCCAGGGCGCCGACTTCAGGTTCTACGCCCGGCCGTACTTCCTCAGGCGAGTGGCGGGCCGACCCTGCGGTGGGCGAGCCCGCGGCCGGACCGGGCCCGCTGCCCGCCGCGCCCGCCGCCCGGGCCACGTCAGAGGCGCCCTGGCCGCCGCGCCCCCTCCGGGCTCCGTCCCGGGTTCGCTCCGCGCGGGCCCTGCCTGACCGCGGGCCCGGCATTCGGAGCCGCGTCCTGCCCCGACCCTTCCCTGCGCCCTCGGCCGCTCCCCCGGCCCCCCGCGCCCGGCCCGGCTCCGCCGGGCTCCCCGCCCTCCGCCGCCCTCGGAGGGGGGACACCACCTTCGGACCTTTCACTTCAGTTCCGGCTGCTCAGCCGCCTTCCCGCCGCGCATCCCGGCACAAACCCCCTCTCCGGGCCCGCGCGTGCCCGGCCGAACCGGTTCTGCCCAGATCGCCACCGGCTTGGCTGAGGCCCTCCTTGACGCTGCTGCCCTCCCCCGTCACGCCTCCACGGTCTAGACCCGGCCCGGTTCTCAGCGGGGTGTGGCGGCGCCTCGCAGGTTTCAGGGCTCAGGGAAGGGGAGGAAGTAGACCTGTAGCCACAGTCGCAGCAAGTGCTCTGTAGGGAGACACAGGGCGCTGGCGGGGGAGGAAGGGCGCCATGTTTATCTGCGGTGACACTGGACTCTGGAAGGACCGGAAGGTGATGGTGGTGCCGGCGAACATTTACTGCATTTTTACTCCAGTTCGGTGCTTTGTGAATGAGCTCATTGGAATTTAGCAGAGTCCGGCAAAATAGGTTCTATTATTTACCGCTGGGACAATGAGGGATCAGAGGCTCAGAGAAAAGCTCTTAAATGGGATAGAGTTATACTAGTAAACAATAAATAAAAATTTCCAAGTGAAAACCTCTGCTTACCCGAGGGGTGTTGATGAAGACAGGAGAGGACGTGTGAAGCAGTTTAAGGAGGACTCACTCTTCCCACAAAGGGGTCCATTCCTTGCGTATCAGAGGCTTGGGAGTTGGGCTTGTCTGAGTCGTAGAGCCCTGTGACTTTTGGCAGATTATTCCGGCTCAGTTTCCTAATTTGTAAAGTGGGACTAATGTTAGTGATCTTAAAGAGCTGATAGCAGGACAGATAATGCATACATAGTCCTCATTATCATGCCTGGTATTTATCCATGTGTTCAACAATCAGTCGGCATTGTTGATTTCTGGGCTCTCTGTTCTGTTCCATTGGTCTATATGTCTGTCCTTGTGCCAATACCATGCTGTTTTGAGAACAGCGGCTTTGTAATATAACTTGAGGTCTGGTATTGTGATCCCTACAACTTGTTCTTTTATCTCAAGATTTCTCTGGCTATGTGGGGTCTTTTTTTTTTTTTTTTAATCTTTATTGTTCATATTATTACAAATGTTTCTCATTTTTTCCCCCTCCATTGCTCCCCTTCATCAGGTTCCCACCCCACCCTCTGCCCTTTCCCCACCCCCCATTGTCCTCATCCATAGGTGCACAGTTTATGTTCAGTCTCTTCCCACACCCCCCTCTCCCCTTTTCCCCCGAGAATCGTCAGTCCACTCCCCTTCCATATCTCTGATTCTATTATATTCACAGTTAATATTGTTCAGCAGATTTTTTAATTCCCTTGGCTTTTAGATTCACTTGTTGATAGTTACGTATTTGTTGATCATAATTTTTATCTATATCTTCTTCCTTTTCCTAAAGAACCCCTTTCAGCAGTTCATATAATTCTGGTTTGGCGGTGATGAACTCTTTTAGCTTTTTGTTATTTGTGAAGCTCTTTATCTGGCCTTCGATTCTGAGTGATAGCTTTGCTGGGTAGAGTATTTTTGGCTGTAGGTTCTTACTATTCATCACCTTGAATATTTCTTGCCATTCCCATCTGGCCTGCATGGATTCTGTTGAGAAATCAGCTGACAATCGTATAGGTGCTCCTTTATAGGTAACTACCTGCTTTTCTCTTGCTGCTTTTAATATTCTCTCTTTGTCTTTTGCTTTTGGAATTTTAATTATGATGTGTCTTGGTGTGGTCCTCTTTGGATTCCTTTTGTTTGGAGTTCTGTGCGCTTCCTGGACTTGTAAGTCTAATTCTTACCCCAGATGGGGGAAGTTTTCTGTCACCGCTAATTGGAAGATTGTATTTTTCTAAGAATGTCCATTTCATCTAGGTTGTTCAATTTGTTGCAATAGAGTTGTTCATAGTATCTTTTTTTCCTAATCCTTTCTATTTCTGAGGGGTTGGTTGTTACTTCACCTTTTTCACTTCTGATTTTGTTTGTGTCCTCTCTCTTTGCTTCTTGGTGAGTCTGGCTAGATGTTCATCAATCTTGTTTATCCTTTCAAAGAACCAGCTCTTGGTTTTATTCATCTTTTGTATTGTCTTTTTGGTCTCTATGTCATTTATTTCCGCTCTGATGTTTATTATTTCTTTCGTACTGCTTACACTGGGCTTTTTGTTTGGCTCTCTTTCTTATTTTCTAAGTTGTGGGGTTAGATAATTTATTACCAGTGTTTCTTCTTTTTTTGGAGGTAGGCCTGTAATGCTGAAAACTTCCCTCTTAAGACTGCTTTCACTGTGTCCATAGATTTTGGATTGTTGTGTTTTCATTGTCATTTGTTTCCAGGGTGCTTTTTATTTCCTTTTTGATCTCTTTGCTAATCCAGTTATTGTTTAATAGCATGCTTTTTATTTGATTTCTAATTTTATGCCATTGTGTTCTGAGAAGATGCTTGATATGATTTCAGTCTTCTTGAACTTGAAAAGACTTTGTCTATGTTCCAATATGTAGTCTGTCTTTGAAAATGTCCTTTATACACTCAAGAAGAATGTATATTCTGTAGCTTAGGGTTAAAATGTTCTGAAGATGTCAGCTAGTTCCATCTGATTTAGTGAGTTGTTTAAGATTGCTGTTTCTTTGTTGATTTTTTTTGTCTAGAAGATTTACCCAGTGATGTCAATGGGGTATTAAATTCCCCTATTATGATAGTATTACTGTTGATCTCACCCTTCATATCTTCCAGAAGGTGTTTTTTTTTTTTTTTTTTTTTTGTATTTGGATGCTCCTATATTGGGCGAATATATGTTTACCAGAATTATATCCTCTTGTTGTATCGATCCCTTTAATATTATGAAGTAACCTTCCTTATGTCTTGTTATGGCCTTCACTTTGAGGTCTATTTAGTTAGATATAAGTATTACCACACTAGTTTTTTGTTTGTTTTTTCATTTTCGTTTGCCTGAAAAAAAATTGTTTCTATTCCTTGACTTTCAGTCTGCTTGAGTCCCTTGTTCTGAGGTGGGTTTCTTGTATACAGCATATGTATGGGTCATGTTTTCTTATCCATTCAGCCACTTGGTGTCTTTTGATTGGATAATTTAATCCATTTATGTTTAAGATTATTGATAAATACTTGTTTGTAGCCATTTTTATTCTTTATGCCTGTGTTCTTTCTTCCCTTCCTACTTCTTCTTTTTAAGCTTTCCCTTTAACATTTCTTGCACTCCTGGCTTGGTAGTAATAAACTCCCTTAACCTTTTTTTGTCTTTTTTTCTGTGAAGCTCTATTTCACCTTCAATTTTGAATGATAGACTTGCTGGATAGAGTATTCTTGGATTCAGTCCCTTGCTTTGTATACTTCATTCCATTCACTTCTGGTCTGCTGTGTTTCTGTTGAGATATCATTTGATAATCTAATGGAAGATCCCTTGTAGATAACTTTCTGTGTTTTTTTTTTTTTTTTTTTTTTTCATTTCTTAAGATTCTCTCTTTGTCACTAATGTTTGCCATTTTAATTACATGTGGTGGTGTGGGTCTTTTTGGGTTCATCTTGTTTGGGACTCTGTGCTTTTGTGACTTTTCTTCCCTAAATCAGGGAAAATTTCTGTCATTATTTCTTCAGATAATTTTTATAATCCTTGCTCCTCTTCTTGTCCTTCTGGCCCCCCTATTATATGAATGTTGCTCTGTTCATGTTGTCCCAAAGCTCCCTTAAGCTATCCTGCTTTTGAATTTTTTTAAAATGTATTTTATTGATTTTTCTTACAGAGAGGAAAGGAGAGAGATAGAGAGTTATCAAAGAAACGTTGATGAGAAAGAAACATCCACAATCTGCCTCTTGCACACCCCCTACCGGGGATGTGCCCGCAACCAATGTACATGCCCTTGATGGGAATCGAACCTGGGACCTTTCAGTCCGCAGACCCTCTACCACTGAGTCAAACCGGTTTCGGCTTGAAATTTTTTTTTTTAAATTAAATTATTATCTGCGTACGTAACTTACCATTGTGCTTTTGAATTTTTTTCTCCAGTTACTGCTCAGCTTCTTCTAGTCTACTGTTGAAACCTTCCATTGTGTTCTTTATTGTAGCTATATAAATTCTTCATTTGGACTTCGTTCTTACATATGTTGTTGATTTTCTCATTCAGCCAGTTTTGGAACTTTATGGCCATTATGCAGAATTCTTTCTCTGATATATTGTTTACTTCCATTTCATTTAGTTCCTTTTCTGACTTCTTTCTTTTGGAGGTTGTTTTTTGTCTCCCCATTTTTTCTGTCTATTTTTGGTCCTGAGCTCCCTGCCGAGGGCCTGAGGGGTTGAAGCTCCTAGCACAAACATGTCAAACCCACGCAAAATAAAGTTTGTGTGAGCCACAAAAAAACCAAAAGCTTCAATTTTCATAGAAATGTAGGTTTATTTTGATAGAGACATGGTGAATATAAAGGGTTGAAATAAATGAGTAATCATTAACATAGAATAATAGGACATTTTATTAAAATAAATATTTTCTTAAATATTAACTTACCAGACACTGAATAACTGCAAAAATTAATAAGCATAATGCAAATAAACCTATTTTTTTTGTTCTCTGAAAGCGAAATATTTCCTGTTGTGCACACCAAACAAATGAATCCAAGACTAATGATTTGGCAGTTGCTGCTAAAATATTCACTATTAGTATTTGTAGAGAGAAATGGTGTGCCTGCATGTAAGGGAAATAAATGCAACATGATTATAGTGATTAGTCATTAGTGAACATTGTAGTTTGTTATTAATAATTATGGATGACAGGATATTGTAAAAATTAAGAATTTTTATTAAAACGTTTTTTACCATTATATTGGCTGGACCACAAAAATATTTCTTGTGGGCTGCATGTGGCCTGTAAGCCACAAGTTTGACATGCTTCCCCTAGCTAGCCTGGGGACTGGGTTTGTCTTGAGGTTCACACCTTTATTGTCTCTCTTCTGAGTTCTATCTCCTCCCACGGTCTGGTACCTCTGTCGTCCACTTCAGATTCTTAAGGTCGGCAGGGTGAGTGCACAGTTCCTCTGGCATGGGACTTTCTGACAGGGCCCAAAGCCCTCTGGCAGGCATTGCACTGTGCGGCCCCAGCACCAAGGCAGGATGGTGCCCTAGATCTCTCTGGCAGTGCACTTGCAGTGTGGTCCTGTGACATGTGGCTGGGCACACTAGTTCATACCAGTAGCTCTGACCTGGGCCTGGGGTGGGATGCGTGCCAGGGTGACAGCTCTATACTGGGACCAGGGATGGAGCGGGTGTGGGCCATCCCTGGCTTGCACTTGCAGCGTGGGACCTGAAATGTAAGATTGGGCTCCTGTGAGGAGGAGCTCTCAGCAGGTCTTTCTGGCATGCACTCGCTGTGGAAGTCTGGGACCCATGGTGTGGTACCTTGGCTGCTCACTGCCGGACACTTAGCAGCGGTGGTTCCACACAGGTTATGGCTGGCAAGTGGCTCCCCGCACAAGTCCAGGGATGGTATCTGAGGTCGGTGTGGATGTTGGCATGGCTGTACTCATAGCCTCTGTTGCTCCTCTCTACAAGATGGCGTGGGTTTGGTGCCAGTGCTGCGCTGGCCTTGGAGTGCTCGTGGCGGTAGCCTGTCTAGGAGAGCCCAGTCTGCCCGTCCCTGGGATTCCTGAGATAGCTATCCGTCCCTCATTCACCCCATAAATACCACCCTTGTCCACACACCCCTTATCCTTTATTCTGTTCCCCTCTCCGTCCCTGCTGTCTTTTTGGCCACCATGTTCGAAATCCCTCTAGTCCTGACTTCTACTGTAGAAGAATTATTTTAGGGTCTCAATGGAAGATTGACAGAACCAGAGAAAAACTGGAAACAGGAATCAGTTCATTTCCTTTAGTATGAAAGAAAAGAAAATCCCCATATAGTAATTATAAGGTTTGAAAGAAAAACATTTTTTTCTCTCTTAGTAGTAATTTGCCCAATGCAAACAATTGGTTTTGTTGTTCCTTATTGTCCCTCACCCCTCTTTTTTGGTAGCCAATTATTCTACTTTTATTGGATCCATGCTGTGGCAGGCACCAGGCATATAAATAATTCATTCATTAGGGAGGTGGAAGTACTGTAACAATGGTGATAACTATATTGTGGCTTTCCTCTTTAAGTATTTTATTGATGAGTAGTAGTATTTAGACAGAGAAGTCATCTCTAATTTTTTTTTAATCTTAGCTAGGAAAGAAGTTTGTTATTTACTTTCTAAAATGCTAAATAAATGCTTAGGCACTTCCTTTTATTTATTTATTTATTTTTAAAAATATATTTTATTGATTTTTTACAGAGAGGAAGGGAGAGAGACTGAGAGTCAGAAACATCAATGAGAGAGAAACATCTATCAGCTGCTTCCTGTACACCTCCCACTGGGGATGTACCCGCAACCAAGGTATATGCCCTTGACCGTAATCAAACCCAGGACCCTTGAGTCTGCAGGCCGATGCTCTATCCACTAAGCCAAACCTGTTTCAGCTCAGGGATTTCCTTTTAAAATGGTTAACAGTTTTCAATGTATACTGGTCACTTATATTTTATAGTTTGTGGACTTCATGAGCTCTTATATTAAATTTGCAGATTAACTCTTCCTGGGAGAATCATAGAAAATGGAAGTGAAAAAGGGTCCTATGATGCAGATAAAGGTATTTATTTCGGAGATTTTGTTAGTTTTGTTCTTTGGATTCTTCATGTTAATGTTACTGTGTAAAAATCTTTTAAGACTAGAGGCCTGATGCACGAAATTCATGCAAGCGTAGGTCCTCACAGACCCGGCTTTGTGCGGAAGGTTGCTTGGATGGTCATTCTGCCGTTCGGCCGTTCAGTCGATTTGCATGTTATGCTTTTATTATTAGAGATACTGTGAGGATCTCTAATAATAAAGAGATGCACTTGCAATTACATGTATTTGCTAAATACATGTAAAAACTTATGACTAAAGTTTTTCAGTGTCAAATGCTGTTATTCATGGGTTTCTTAAAATTGACAATTTTTTTAGTCTTTGAAAGTATTTCACAGTATTCTTCATAGTAAACTTAACACTCTGCTTGTGTGAGGCAATAGACGACATAAATGATTTTAGCTGTGAATCAAATCTTTTTTGTACACTTTCAAACTTAAAAATTTAGTTATGTGTAGATGAGAAAGAAGCTGTTCATAGGTGGCATTTAAAGGCTGACAGAATTTTCTTCTTGTGAATAAGTCATTCAGCTAGTCCTACAAACATTTTTTCTCTTTATGTAAGTAGTTTGTTATTAGGTAGGAATAAGAATACGCTGTGTGCTCTTATGTAATTTACCCACGGAGTATTATCTATTGCCTTCATGAACTAGGGAAAGGGAGGAAAGATGGGATGACAGTGTTAAGTGACAATAGTGCAATATAATTAATGTGATAAAGAAGTATAATAAAACTGCCTTCCTAGGTTCAAATCTGCTTTTAATTGCACATAAGTTGTTATTACATTTTAAAAGGACATAGGACTTGAGGAAGGTTGCTATATGTGGAAATATTTTGGGTTAATTGCATTTGATATATTTGGATAAGGTTTAGTTCACTGAAAGAATAAAATGTTTTAAAATGTAATGAGTTCAGAGCTGAACCTAGTTGAAGTTTTATAAACTCAGTCAAGGAAAGAAAAGAAGTACATAGGTATAATTTATATCTGCCTTAGACTGACTTTAGGAATGTAGTTTCTATGTTATAATAGTAAAGGATTTTATTAAGTCCTTTTATAACTACTTTTTGTGTATTTTTGAAATTGGTGCTATTCTGTATAGGATAATGTATCCTGATTTTTTTTTTTTTTGCCTCCCTAGTCCAGAAATACATTTTATAAGAAGCTGCTGTTACCCTCTCAGGGCTATTGAGTTTTGGAATTTTAATATTATCAATAGTTAGGGTGATATTGCAGTAAGACTAAAGTATTCAGCAGCTTTAACAAATTACTTTCTTATAGTGGTGACAGCTGAATTAGTGGTTCTGAAAAACCCAGTTGGAACTTTTCTGATTTTTAGTCACTAAATTTATGTAAGGCCATAGTTTTGGAGCTCTATAAAATAGAATTATATCTAAACATACATATTATATAGGTATATTTGTGAAGTTTTTAAGTATTTTAATCTTGTTAACCATAAAACAAATTTATGTTTAAGGAATTTTTACCGTTCGGTTACCCAAAGAAACTCCTGGTCAGCATTTTGAGGGGCTGAACATGTTAACTGTGCTTCTGGCACCAAGAAAATCCAGGACTGCAAAACCACTGGTGGAGGAAATAGGTATGTTTATTGCATTTGGAACAACAGCAGCAACAACAACAAAAAGGCAGAATATTTGGAATGTTGTATATTTCCATGGGAAAAGAATATAGCAAATAGGAGATTGGAGGAAATACTTCAAGTGACAAGGTAGGGTAGCTCATTTGGCAATATATAATTTGTTTTTAAAAAATATATTTTATTGATTTTTTTACAGAGAGGAAGAGAGAGGGGTAAAGAGTTAGAAACATTGATCAGAGAGAAACATTAATCAGCTGCCTCCTGCACACCTTCTACTGGGGATGTGCCCACGACCAAGGGACATGCCTTTGACTGGAATCGAACCTGATACCTTTCAGTCCATAGGCCGATGCTCTATCCACTGAGCCAAACCGATCAGGATGGCAACATATAATTTAAAGACATAAAAACTCCATTGAACCAGTAGGTCAGTCATATTTTTTAATATATTAAAATAGCATCTCTGTGTCTGGGAAAATATTGGCCACTTGAGTTAAAATTAGAAGTGTGCAATTCAGGGAGCTACATAAAGTGAACACCAATGTCAGAGGAGAAATGGAACATTTCCAGTAACTTGGAACCCTACCTGGGCCTCCTCCTCGGCCCCTCCTCTTCTCCAAGGTACCCACTGTCCTCAGTTTTGCCTGTTTTTGAATTGTATATAAATATAATTTCACAGTATGTGTTCATTTTTGACTGGCTTCTGTCACTTAACACTTTTGTGAGATTTATAAATATATGGCTGAGGTCTGTTTGTTTTTACTGTATTTATTATTCCTACATCCTATCATAAGTGGATTGTGGTGTTTTTCCCCCCCCCATATTTTGCTATCTAGTATATGAATATTCTTTTACTGTGTTTTGGTACAACACAGGCAGTCATTTTCCCTCCATTTTTTCCTTCCCTGAGTGGTACCTAGGAAATCCAGTATTTTAAAAAGTTAATATTTAACACATTTAGGTGCTTCTGAGGTTTCTGAGGAAGGAGTAGAAGATGATGATGAAGACTTTGACTGGGAAATTGAACAGTCCCCCTATGAAGAGGTGCCAGAAAGTGTTCTGTACCCCCATGGCCACTATGGATTTGGAGGCCTGCGATCAGGAGTATTTCAGCGGTTACAGGTAGGCTGTTTCCCAGAAGACTTGGGCATCTAGGTTTTACACGTAGATATTGTTGTCTCAGTTCTGCTCATCCTGGAAGTGAGTTTATGAGTGTTATAGGAGGCGACCTGTTGAGAGCACAAAGCTCAGCTCCTGTCCGCACACATGATAGCTGCTCCTGCCTGTCCTCTGCACAGCTGCTCTGCCCAGGCTCCACGCCTCCAGGTAGATGATGCTCTCCACCTTCTACGCTTGGTTCTACGCTTGGTTCAGGGTTCTAGACATTAGGTTTTAAACACAAAGTGAAACCACGCCTCCTCATACTTCTGGAAAGCTTTGTGTTTTATATGAAAGTCATGTGCTATGGCAGGTGTACCTCAGCACAGTCTGTGCCCTCTTGTGTCCAGGGCTCTTGTAATCTGGGATCTCTCGCTTCTTATTGCCCACCTACAGCAGAGGCGGGAGAAGCTCCTGCCATTGCCGCTGTGCTTGCCACCCATGAGCCCAGCTTCTGGCTGAGCATTGCTCCTCTGTGGCAGCGGACTGACCATTGGGCAGCTCCTGTGTGAGTGTCTTCCCCCTGGTGGTCAGTGCGTGTCATAGCGACCAATTTGCATATTAGGGTTTTATTAGCTAGGACTTGCACAGGGGGCAGGGAGGAGAGGAGGTGGTGGTATCCCTTAGCTCAGCCTGCACCCTCTCCAATCTGGGACTGCTTGAGGGATGTCCAACTGCCTGTTTAGGCCCGATCCAGGACTGCTGGCTCCCAACTGCTCGCCTTCCTGCCTTCCTGATTGCCCCTAACCACTTCTGCCTGCCAGCCTGATCACCCCCTAACCACTCCCACGCCAGCCTGATTGATGTCTAACTGCTCCCCTACCAGCTTGTTTGCCCCCAACTTCCCTCCTCTGCTGGCCTGGTCACCCATAACTGCCCTCCCCTGCAGGGTTGATTACCCTCAACTGCTCTCCCTTGCAGGCCTGGTGCTTCCCAACTGACCTCCCTTGCTTGCCTGGTCACCCACAACTTCCCTCACTTGCAGGCCTTGTCCCTCTCAACTGCCCTCCCCTGCTGGCCATCTTGTGGTGGCCATCTTTATCCACATGGGGACAGGATCTTTGACCATATGGGGCAGCCATCTTGTGTGTTGGAGTGATGGTCAATCTGCATATTACTCTTTTATTAGACAGGATAGAGGCCTGGTGCACAGGTGAGGGTCAGCTGGTTTGCCCTGAAGGGTGTCCCGGATCAGGGTGGGGGTTCCCTTGGGGCGTGGGGCGGCCTGGGCGAGGGGCTTGTGGTGGTTTGCAGGCCAGCCATGCTCCCCGGTCACCCAAGTGGAGGCCCTGGTATCTGGAGTTTATTTATCTTTACAATTGAAACTTTATAGCCTGGAGCAGAGTCAAGCCTTCTGCTTGCTCCATGGTTGCTGCCATTTCTGTTTGGATTTGTTTACCTTCTATCATTGAAACTTTGTAGCCTTGAGTGGAGGCATAGGCCGGCAAGGGCAGGCGGACAGCTTGGTTTCTTTCATTGCCTGGGAAACCCGAGCCTTCCTCCTGCTCTCTGTGGCGGCAGCCATCTTGGTTGGGGTTAATTTGCATACTTGCTCTGATTGGCTGGTGGGTGTGGCTGGTGGATATAGCAGAGGTGTGGTCAATTTGCATTTTGCTCTTTTATTAGATAAGAAGTTCCTGGTGATAGTGAGTTTGTGTTGTTTGATCAGTTTGTTTAATTTTTGGTGTATAGTAGGCACTTCTGTCTCTTTACTCTTGATGGGGATTGAATGTAATCTCTTGTTAAAACCTGATTATTTGTCAATTAGGCTAACCAAGAATGGCATCACTTTCTCTTCCTACAATAATGAAGGAAATTTGGCTTAGTTTTAGGTTATCTAGGAATATTGAAATGAATGAAATGGAGAGGAAATATTTTGGATTACTTTGTAATGCTGTTTTAAAGGAAGTGTATTCCTAAAATGCCATGTGATGAAAGTGTTAATGAATCACTCTCTTAGCTTCTTACCTTTTTTAAAATGAAAGAAACAGCAATGAGCCATTGTTTGTTTTATTTCATTCCTGTCTGAGTAGAGAATGTTAAACCTGTTGTAATGTGGTTTATTATAGTAAGACATATTCGAGTTTAACAAGGAAAGGTAAATGACCTATGCTGTAGTCCCACTTCTTTTTTTTATTAATTTATTTTTTTAAATTAAAAAATATATATATATTTTATTGATTTTGTACAGAGAGGAAGGGAGAGAAATAGAGAGTTAGAAACATCGATGAGAGAGAGTCATCAATCAGCTGCCTCTTGCACACCCCCTACTGGGAATATGCCCGCAACCAAGGTACATGCCCCTTGACAGGAATCGAACCCGGGACATTTCAGTCCCCAAGTCGACGTTCTATCCATTGAGCCAAACCGGTTTCGGCTGTAGTCCCACTTCTACCCGTGTTTTAATTTGTGATGTCAGATCACTTACTTGAGTACCAGAAAGTTTCATTTCCACTTTATAAAATAGAGATAACTTTGTTCACCTCTTTATAAGGTATAGTGTGCCCATGTAATTTATTTCTAGAAAATTTAAGGGGATGCTGCAGTGTGTAAACTCTTTGAAAACAACTATAAGATGCTAGAAAGACCTCTGCCTTTGAAAAATATAAAATTCTCTTAAGATTCCTTAAAGGGAACAAAACTGGGATTTACTTAGGAACAAACAATGCTGATGAACTTTTCCCTTAAAAAACTTGTGACACGTTTCTGCTGAATTATGTTCCCTCTACTTCGTTACAAGAGATGTCTGAGATTTTGTTGCCTATAGTTTCTTCTAATATTTTTATGGTTTAATGATTTACATTTAAGTCTTTTTTTTTAATCCATTTTGTTTATTCTTGTATATGATATAAGGTGGTGGTATAGTTTTCATATTTTTGCATGTTGTATCTTCAATTTTCCCAGCACCATTTATTGAAGAGACTGTCTTGACATCACTGTGTATTCTTGCCGCCTTTTGTTAGATATTAATTGAGTGTAATGTCTTAAGTTGATTTCTGGGTTCTCTATTCTGTTCCATTGATCTATATGCCTGTTCTTGTGCCAGTACCAGGCTGTGTTGAGTACAGTGGCTTTAAAGTATAATTTGATATCTGGTATTGGGATTCCTTCAACTTTATTCTTCTTTCTCAAGATTGCTGTGGCTATTCAAGGTCTTTTTTGGTTCCATGTAAATTTTTGGAGTATTTGTTCTAGATCTGTGAAATAGTGCTGTTGGTATTTTAATAGGGATGTTAATCCTACAAGTCCATGAACATGATATATTCTTCTACTTGTTTATATCTTCCTCAATCTCTTTTTTTCAACATCCTGTAGTACAAGTCTTTTACAACTCCTTGGTTGAGTTATCCCTAAGTATCTTAGTTTTTTTGTTGTAGTGGTAAATGAAAATAATTGTTTAGTTTCTTTTTTTGAGAATTCAATATTGGTGTGTAAAAATTCCATTGATTTCTGGGTGTTAATTTTGTACCTTGCTGCAATGCCATATTCACTTATTAAATCTAGTAATTTTTTGATGGAGTCTTTAGGATTTTCTGTTTTTAATATATGTCATCTTCAAATGATAGTTTTATCTCTTCCTTTCCAATTTGGATGCCTTTTATTTCTTCTTGGCTGATCCCTGTGGCTATGACTTCCAGGACTATTTTGAATGAGAGTGGTGAAAGCAGACATCCCTATCTTGTTCCTGTTCTTAGGGGAAATGATCTTAGTTTTTTTCCCATTGAGTGTGATGTTTGCTGTAGGTTTGTCATGCATGGCCTTTGTTATGTTGAGATATGATCCCTCTATTTCCACTTTGCTGAGAGTTTTTTATCAACTGATTTTCTTAAATGAGTTTTTTTGTATCTATAGGATCATGTGATTTTTGTCTTTCAGTTTACTTATGTGATATATCATGTTTATTAACTTATATGAGTTTTGTAACAGCCTTGCATTCATGGAATAAGTCCCACTTGGTCATGATCTTTATAATATATTGCTGCATCCAAATTGCTAATATTTTGTTGGGGGTTTTAGTATCCGTGTTCATCAAGGATATTGACCTGCAGTTCTCTTTCCTTATAGTATCTTTATTTGTTTATGGGATTAAGATAATGTTGGCCTCATAGAAAGAAGTTCAAACTGTTGCTTCTTCTTGAAATTTTTGAAATAATTTGAGGAGTATAGGTGTTACTTCTTTGAATGTTTGGTAAGACTCCCCTGTGAAACCATCTGGACCAGTACTTTGGTTTGCTGGGAATTTTCAAATTACTGACTCAATTTTATCCATTGTTACTGACCTATTCAGGTTTTTCTGATTCTGTTTTTAGAGGTTGTATTTTTCTAGGAATTTGTCCATTTCATTTATATTGTCAGCTTGTTGGCATATCGTTGTTCATAGTATTTTCTTACAATTCTTAGTGTTGCTATTGTGTCAGTTGTTACTTTGTTGCTTTCATTTTTGATTTTACATATTTGGGTCTTTGTTTCTTTATGAGTCTGGCTAATGGTTTATCAATCTTATTTATCTTTTCAAAGAACCAGCTCTTGGCTTCATTGATCTTTTGTACTTTTTTTGGTCTCTATGTCATTTACTTTTGCTCTAATCTTTATTATTTCCTTCCTTCTACTTACCCTTATTGTTCCTTTTTGAGTTCTATAAGTTATATATAGGGTTAAATAGTTTATTATTAATTTTTTTTTTTGAGGTAGGCTTATAGTGCTATGTACTTTCTTGTCAGGACTGCTTTTGCTCTGTCTCAGATTTTTGGTGGTTGTGTGTGCATTTTCATTTGCTTCCAGGAAGTTTTTTTTTTTTTTTCCCCCCCTCCCTGATGTTAATGGTAACCCATTCATTGTTTAATAACATGCTATTTAGCCTCCATGTATTTGAATGTCTTGGGATGTTTTTACTATAGTTGTTTTTAATTTCATGCCACTGTGATCTGAGAAGATGTTGATATTATTTCAATCTTCTTGAACTT